TAAAAAAAAAAAAAAAAAGAAAAAGAGAAATTTTAAAAAGTATCTTGAGACAAATGAAAATGGAAACAAAACATACCAAAACTTATGAGTTGTAGCAAAATCAGTTCTAAGAGGGAATTTTATAGCAATAGTTGCCTACATTTAAAAAAACAAAAGGTTCCAAATAAACAACCTAAAGTTTCACCCTAAGGAACTATAAAAAGAAGAATAAAATAAGCCCAAAGTTAGAAGACGGAAGGTAATATTAAAGATTAGAACAGAAATAAATGAAATAGGGATCAGGAAAACAATAGAAAAGATCAATGAGAGTAAGGGTTGGTTTTTTGAAAGGATAAACAAAATGACAAACCTTTAGTTAGACTTACCAAGAAAAAAAGATAGAGGACTTAAATAAATAAAAGTGTAAATGAAAGAGGAGATGTTATAATTGATGTCACACAAACACAAAAGATCATAAGAGATTACGGTGAAAAGTTATATGACAATAAATTGGATAACATAGAAGAAATAGATAAGTTCCAAGAAACATACAAACTACCAAGACTGAAGTACAAAGAAATTGAAAATTTGAACAGACCAATAGTAAGGAGATTAAATCAAAAATCCAAAACCTCCCAACACAAATAAGCCCAGAATCAGATTATTTTATGGATGAATTCTACCAAATGTTTAAAGAGGAATTAATGCCAATCCTTCTCAAACTTTTCCAGAAATTGAAGAGGAAGAAAAACTTCCAAACTCATTTTAGAAGACCAGCACCCCTATACCAAAGTCAGATAAAGACACTACAAGAAAAGAAAATTACAGGCAAATACCCCTGATGAACATAGATGTAAAAATTCTCAACAAAATATTAGCAAACCAAATTCAAGAGCATATAAAAGGGTTATACATCATGTTCAAGTGAGATTTATCCCTGGAATGCAAGGATGGTTCAACATAGGAAAATCAATAAATGTGATACACCACATTAATAGAATGAAGGATAAAAACCATATGATCATCTCAATACATGTAGAAAGAGCATTTGACAAAATTCAATATCTTTTCATGAAAAAAATCTCTTAGCAAATTGGGTATAGAAGAAATGTACCTTGACATAATAGAGGCCCTATATGACAAGCCCACAGGTAACATCATACTCCATGGTGCAAAGCTGACAGCTTTTCCTCCAAAGTCAGGAACAATTCAAGGGTGCTTACTCTTGCCACTTCTATTTAACATATCCTGGAACTCCTAGGCAAAGCAATTAGGCAAGAAAAAGAGAAAAAGGCATTGAAATGACAAAGGAAGAAGTTAAATTGTCTCTGTTTACACATGATAATAATCTTATATATACAAAACTCAAAAACTCTACTAAAAAACTGTTAGAACTAATAAACAAATTCAGTAAGATTGAAGGATACAAAATCAGTTGTGTTTCTATACACTAACAATGAACTATTGGAAAGAGAAATTAAGAAAGCAATCCAACTTACAATAGCATCAAAAACAATAAAATACTAAGGAATAAATTTGACCGAGGAGGTGAAGGACCTTTACACTAAAACTATAAGACATCGATGAAAGAGATTGAAGAAGATACAGATACATGGAAAGATATTCTGTGCTCACGGATTGGGAGAACTGATATTGTTAAAATGTCCACACTATCTAAAATGACCTGTAGATTTAATGCAATCCCTATCAAAATTTCAATTGCATTTTTCACAGCTTTAGAAAAAATAATCCTAAAATTTGCTTGGAATGACAGATGACCCCCTTTTGCAACTATATGTATGAACCTAGAGGAGATTATGCTAAATGAAATAAGCCAGACACAGAAAGACAAATATTGTATGGTATCACTTAAATGTAGAATCCAAAAAGTTGAGCTCATAGAACCAGAGAGAAGAATAGTGGTTGCCAAGGGCCGAGGGGTGGGATAAACGGGGACATGGTCAAATGTACAACATCCAGTTGGAAGATGAATAAGTTTTGGAGATCTAAAGTACAATGTGGTGATTATAGTTAATAATACTGTATTGTATACTTTATATTTGCTAAGAGAATAGATCTTAAGTGTTTTTACCGCACATACAAAATGGCAAATATATGAGCTTTGGATCTGTTAATTAACTTGATTATGACAATTATTTCACAATGTGTATGTATATTAAATCATCACGTTGTACACCTTAAAAAACTCACATTGTACAATGTAAAACAAAAAAATACAAACCAAGTCAAATGAAAATACTTTTGATGAAAAATAATCACTAACCTCCATATAATTCTTGACATGTCATTTTGCATGTGCACTTGTAGCTTCTATTCTCTTACTTGCTGTTCAGAATCCTGAGAGGCAGGGGTGAGGTTCAGAGAGGGAAGTGACTTACCTAATGATATATAGATGGTACATGAGAACATAAAAACTTGAACTCAGTCAAGATTATTTTTATCTCCATTGTACATAGGTGGAAACTGAGACCAAGAGGCTTAAATTACTTAGATCATCCTACCCCGTAGAGGGCTTGGCACGGTGATTTGCAGGGGTCTGTGTGAAATGTGTGTTAAGTCTGAGTCAGCAACTGTGTCTGGATTGAACGAGCCTATGTTGCATAACTTCTCAGACTCCTCTGGGGCCACAGGAATCCCAGCTGCAGCCTGTGCTGATGCAGGAGTTTGGCCCTGTGAACTGGGAATGAGGGAGGGATAAAGGATATGAGTGAAGCAGAGGGTGAGCAGGTCCATGGCTTTCTGTGAATGGAAGGCCCCAGGTTCCTGTGTGCAGAGCATGACCTGTCAATCATTGATTTGTACAGACAGCTTGTGACAGCTCCAATGGTGGAAGCAAATGACTTAGTCCTATCATCCCGGGTTTGAATCCTAGCCCGACCTTTGTGGAAGTATAGTCTCTGTTTTAAAAATGCAATAATTCCTTTCTGGATGGTCTAAACACCAAATCAACACACAGTGAGGGACAATTGTTTAATTTTGCTTTTATTTTTAAAAGCTTGTTTTTATTTTCATTTTGAATTAATTTTATTTTACAATTTTTTTAACCGTTTATATGGTTTTCAAAGTCAAATCCCCAAGGCAAACTTCATCCAGAAAAATTTAAATTTC